CCCCGCGCTCTGACATGTCGACCTATACATACATAGATGCCGTCGCCCCGTGGTGGAGGTGCACAGATACCTCGCTCGCGCCAGCCACTCTTGTTTTAACATGACGACCCGTCCCTGTTTCCAGGGGGGGGGTAACAGCGGCCGAGGCCGCAGAGCTGGGCGGTGCGAAGCCAAACCCGGCAGCCTGCCCGTGCCAGTAGTGTTCTTTGCGTTCCTCTCTCCGTTCCTTCTCCGGTCTGAGCGGCAGGAGAAAAAGTGACGGCCAGCTTGGGCGGTGCGGCCTCGGTGCGGTTGCAGGCTGGCGCGGGCAAAAGAGAGAGTGAGGAGAATTCGGAAAAGGGGGTGAGCCAGCAAGGGCGTGGAGTAACTGAGCGGGCGGCCAGTGTTGAGGGAGGACGAGGAGAATCAAACCCATCAACAGATAGGAAGACAAGACACCGAAAGAGTAGCAGATTAGCCAGTAGCAGAGTGCGGGCGGCAGCAAGATGTTGCAGGGAACACATCACCAAATCCAAGAAACGTAACCTCATATGAGAACTTCAGCGCGCAAACATTAAAAAAGTGTGGGTGCCAGCGCGGGTGTCCTCGGTTTTCTTCGAGCGGCGCCTCTGGGCGTGGTGGATGGTGGATTCGATGGTTCTGCTACAGCTGATCTTCGTTCGGGTACGCGACTGCGGGGATGAATAGTGGGAGGACACATGGGTTGTAGTCGTCCGCGAACTCTTTCTGGTAGCCGTGCTGATTGTCGCAGTGGTTGCCCGGGCTCGCGGGGAGGAACAGCGGGAGAATGCATGGGCCGCAGTTGTCCGGCTTCTCAACCTCGATGATGACGCATTTGGGTTGCGAAATCGTTCGGGGGGCTTTCTTGCTTGATGCCCGGCTTGTTTGCACACATCGTTGCCGCGATGAGGTGGCACAGGTCGCCGGGTCTGACCTTCCAACCTTTTCGCATTGCATAGCTTGTTCCGAATGCCGCGGCACGCGGTGGCTCAGGCCCGAGTGGACCCGAAACGGTCTCGTAACGCGTGTTGAAGTTGACGGCGAGAGCTCCGATGTTGCAGGTGCGCGTGCGGATGGTCGCGGGCGCGCATTCCCCCTCGACCATTGAAAGCCCCGTACTTGGCACCCCCCTCATTGGTGGCAGGCGGGCGACTCCATGGATCAGGAGGAAGAAACACACAGACACAATTAATCCTCGATTCCAAGGAAAATATGGGAAGTGTGGGGGAAGACAAGAACCCAGGGCCCCTTCAACGGAGTGCGCGTGCAGCTGCACAGTTAGGCTCCGCGCGTAGGCGTCGGTCAAACAGAGGCACTCTGGGAGGTGGGCGCGCGATGCGGCAGGCTGTGCTAATGTGGCCAGTGGATGCGCGCCGGCGTGGCTTTGCACTGGCCACCCCAGCGCAGCATGAAGAGCGTAGCCCGCGAGGAGGGCGAGGGACTGGGTCAAAGTTGTGGCAGTAGGCTGCGAGGTCGCCATCGCTTGAGGTGCAGAAGGCGGAGCACGGCTTGAAACGGGGCAGGGAGGCGGGAGGAGAGCTAGGGGGTGCGGTGGGTTGGCAGGCGGCTACAGTGTCTTGTTAAGCTGCGCGGGTGTGGCCAGGGCCACACTCGCCAGGGCAGGAAGGCGCAAGGGCTTCTCTCTCTCTCTCTCTCTCCTTAGCCATAGGGCATCCTGGCGGGACGGCCCCCAGCCAGATACAGGGGACCGTCAACCGCTGAGGCGGGCGTTCGGTTCCCTATACGTGTCTGGGGGCCACCCTGGGATGCCCACAAGCCGAGGGGAGGTTTACGCCGTCCAGTGGCGGCGGTCATTTGGTGGGCGATGCCCCCCCCACCCAAACAATCCGCCCCACCTCGCCCTCCTCCTGCGCCTCCTCCTCCTCCTCCTCCTCCTCCTCCTCCTCCTCCTCCTCCTCCTCCTCCTCCTCCTCCTCCTCCTCCTCCTCCCCCTGTCCTTCAATGTTTGCCGCACCCTCCCGCTTGGGCGCGCGGCTTCTGCAGGCCTGCTGCGCCAAGGCGTGCCTCAGCTCGGCAGCTGTTGCGCGACGGATGAAGACACCGCCTTTGTGAGCGCGGCAGCGACGGACGGACTGTGTTCGTCGCGCTTCGCGTGTACCCGCCAGCCCGTTCAGAAACGTTGCCCATGAGACTTCACGGTGAAGGGCACGAAGAAACACAGGTAGTGCGGCAAAGCAGGCAACCAGGATGAGCGGAGAGATCCTTGGAAGCAAAGGGTTGGTTTGGGAGGGCCTCTTCGTGCCATCCCTCGGGCCCGCGGGGTGGCGAGGGGAGGAGGAGAAGGAGGAGGAGGAGGAGGAGCAGACAAACCGCATTTTGGGGCCCTCGTGGGACCCTCTGGAGGCGCTCTGGGGCCCTCTTGGGGCTCTCTTGGGGCCCTCTTGAGAGCCCTGTTAGGCTTCTTCGGGCCATCTCGTAGGGCGCTGATCAAAGGAGAGGAGGGGCCCGATCCCCCTCCCCCCTCCCCCGTCGGGTCCATCAAAATCGCCTCTACGGCGCCTTCTTGGGGCGTTCGTGGGCCGCTCTTGGGCGCTCTTGGGCGCTCGTGGGGCCGTCTGGGGGGGCATTCTGGCCCATCTCCTGGCATCGCTCGGACGTGTGCATTTTTCCCTCGGCGAGGACCATCGAGGAGCATCCTTGATCATTTGGCGAAAAAACCACGCACGAAACCAAAAAAAAACACAGGGAATAGACGTCCGAGCGATGGCCAGCTCTTGGGTCTCTCTTGGGTCATCTTGGGGCTATCCCGAGGCCTTCAAAGCGCATCGGAAGCGGACAAAAAGAGAAAGCAAGTATCATAGATTGTCCATAGAATGCTGGAGGATTTGGGCCTCTCGGGGGGGCCCTGAAGGGGGGCTCCATGAGCACTTGGAACTGTCTTGTGGCCCTCGTCGGGCCTCTTCGAGGTATGTCGGAAGCTAGCTTGAACCACATTCGGCTATATACAGTGTGGGCGCGGCCGCAAGAAACCTTCGCAAGAGACCCAGTCTTGAAAACCCGCGCGCGAGGTGCACCCGAGGGGAAGCCCGGAGCACCCTAAACGCAGCAGCTTCTTCAACGGCTGCGGGAAGTCATCGCGCAGCGCGCGGAGCGAAGAAACTCAGGATACCCTGACTAAAAGCATATGATTTCTTGATGCGCACCCCCACTGTAAAGCCGTCTTGGAGCCATCTTGGGAGCTCGAAATCCTCCGCCCCCCGCCGTCCAGAACCCCCCCCTCCTCCTACTCCTCCTTCTCCTCCTACTCCTCCTTCTCATCCTCCTCCTCATTATCCTCCTCCTCCTCCTCGTCCTCCTCATCCACCTCCTCCTAGTGGGGGCGCGCATAAAGGAACCATATGCTTTTCGTCGGGGTATCCTGGGTGTCTTCGCTCCGCGCGGCGCTGCGCGACGACTTCCCGCAGCCGTTGAAGAAGCTGCTGCGTTCAGTGTGCTCCGGGTTTCCCCTCGGGTGCACTTCGCGCGTGGGTTTTCAGGGTTGGCTTTCCCTCGAGGGTTTTTTGCAGCCGCACCCGCACTGTACAGTCAGCCCGTAGTAAGGATGGGCAGCTTTTCCAAGGGTACCCTTGCATCCTTGCCCCTTCGGCCCCTCCTTAACGACTTTGGCTGGCCAACCTCGATCGAAAAACGTTCACGTGGGACTCCAAGGCCCTTGCATCCTTAACCGCGCTTCCTTATGATACGGGTTGACTGTATGCCTTCCTCCAAGGGAAGAGGGTTCTGGAAGAGGATAGAACAAATTCGCTAGACCACGCTGGTGGGGTTCCCTCCCACCTCGACCCCGCGCCGCCCCCCCCTCGCCCTCAAGACCCCGGGCTGACCTTGGCGCGAGCGCGGGCAGTACAGCAAGCAGCGAGGCAAGTTCGCGACCTGTGGGCACCTCTGAAAGTCAGGAGCGAAAGAAGGACGTACACGTACATGAGTCCGCGTTGGTTTCGAGAGCAGGGCTGGACCTAAACGCTGTTTCGCTGGACTTCGGCTGTGTTTTGCTTTTCGTTTTGGCAGGGAGGTGCAGGAGAACAGGAGGGCAAACCAAAAAAAACAAGACGACAACGCGGCGAAGAACAACGTTTGGGTCCAATTCTGTTCGAGAGCACGCCCTGCGCGAACGCTCGCATCACGCGGCCAGCCTCGCGGATTGCGGGGGCCGTGCGCGTGCACGTGGTTGGGCGCGTGCGTCATCGTGTGGGCTCCCTATATGAGAGGGCGGGGGGGCGCGCGGGGGGGGCGCCCGCCTGCGGCTCTGAGAGGGGCGGCGGGCAGGGGCGCCTGTGCACATCCAAGGGGCCCCACCTCCCAGGACCGACGCACATCCCCGACGGGGCCCCCATTCGATTCCCTCCGATGTCGATGCGATTTCGCTGGCCTCCGATTCCGATTCGATTCGACCTCGGAGTCCGATTTGGATTCCGATGCCTAATTTGAGGCACACTAGCCTGCCGACTTCCGCCGATTCGACTTCTCTCGACTCGGCTGCCGATTTCCGCCGATCCGATTCATGTCGATCGCCGATCCGACTCGTCAATTCGATAATAATGGGCTCTCCTGCCCCGAGCCCCGAGAAATCATTCCCGCAGAGCCGATCGGACGTCGATCTTGATGCCTCCAAGGCCGGGGAGCCCGCTCGTCAGGTCTGGTGGTAAGTGTGTGGGCCCGTCAGGCGTATGTTCGTCCCCAGGTTGAGCGGCCCTTTTTGCATGCTTTGGCTGTGACAGAGGCTCACCTCTGGGCTTTTGCCTAAGGTGATTGACGGGCATTGCGGACGCTTCCGATATTCCGCGTCTCCTCCACCCCCGTAATCGTCTTGGAATCGCGCCGTATCCCCGTGGTTGCCTGCCTCATCTCCCCCCTCCGCACTTATTTGGGCTCGAGCGAGAACCCACTCCATGTGCTGAGGTTGTGGTAATGATAAATCCAGCAATTGATATAAAATCGTCAACTCGATCATTCATACACTGTATTGGGCGCGCCCGATTTTCATGAGAAACGTGAACCTCTTGGTTCCGTTGGCAACCTCATGGCTTCTCTCCGTGGCTGAACGGTCCAGGCTGGATCTTGTTGAACACCTTGCTCAAGATGGAGTGGTCGCCGTCGCAGTGGGCCACCGCCACCAGGAGTTGTCCATGGCCCGCAGCCGTGCCGATCTTGAGCAGCTCACGAAGAATGCCTCAACCCCGCGTACTGTGCAGAGCGCAAGATGGCGTCCTATTGCGTTGACACACGTCTCGGGCTCCTTGGGCAACATCGGTATCCAGGCACGCTCCCAGGGCTTGCGCAACGAGTCGTCGTCTGCCCATTATGCTTGCGGCATGTGTCGCCTGTTGGCAGACCGGTCGGCCGTGACACGCAGAAAGGCTGCACTCACCATCGGGAAAGGCCGCAAGCACGTGCTCCCTGCCTTGAATCAGTTGAAGGGTTTGCTGCAGGACACAAATGCGGGGGTCCGCCAGAATGCCGCGTGGGCCATCGGGCGCGGCGGCAGCAAAGCCGTGCTCCAGGCCATGGACGAGTTGAAGGCTTCCCTGCAGGACGCAAATGCAGGAGTCCGAGAGAAAGCCACGTGGGCCATTGGGACTGGCGACAGGGAGGCCGTGCTCCAGGCTGCGGGCGAGCTGAAGGTTTCGCTGAGGGACGCAGATGCAAGGGTCCGCAGAAACGCCGCCCTGGCCCTCGGGACGGGCGGCGGCAAGGCGGTGCTCCCGGCCATGGACGAGTTGAAGGCTTCGCTGCAGGACACGGAGGACGCAGAGGTCCGCAGAACCGCCGCGTCGGCCATCGGGAGCGGCGGTCCCGAGGCAGTGGCCCGGGCCGTGGACGAGTTGAAGGCCTCGCTGCAGGACACGGACGTGGCGGTCCGCAGGACCGCCACGTGGGCCCTCGGGAGCGGCGGCCGCGGGGCCGTGCTCCGGGCCTTCGGCGACCTCAAGGCCTCGCTGCGGGATGCGGACGCGGGAATCCGCAAGTTTGCCACGTGGGCCATCGGGGAGAGTGGTCCCGAGGCCGTGCTCCAGGCCATTGGCGAGCTGAGGGCCCTGCTGCAGGACGCAGGCGCAGCGGTCCGAAGCCGGGCGGCCTGGGCCATCGGGCGCGGCGGCGCCGAGGCCGTGCTCCCGGCCATGGGCGAGCTGAGGGCTCTCCTGCAGGACACAGATGCCGGGACCCGAGGCAAGGCCGCGTGGGCCATCGGGTGCGGGAAGCACGAGGCCGTGCTCCAGGCCGTTGGCGAGCTGAGGACGCTGCTGCGGGACTACCATCGCAAGCCCCGGGAGAAGGCCGCATGGGCCATCGGGCACGGCGGCAGCAAGGCCGTGCTTCAGGCCATGGACGAGTTGAGGGCGTTGCTGCAGGATGCAGATTCCGCAGTTCGCGTGAGGACCGCGAAGACCATCGGGCTCGGCGGCGGGCCCTCGGCCGTGCTCCAGGCCACGGTGGAGCTCGAGGCCATGCTGCAGGACGCAGACAGCATGGCCCGCAGGGAGGCCGCGAAGGCTCTGAAGAGCGCTGGCGCAGAGGTCGTCGACCGCGCGGCAGCGTATCTTCGGCCCTTGCTGGGTGAAGGAAAGAAGGTAGAGACACGCAGAAAAGCCGCAGAGGCTGTGGCTATGTTGGGGCTCGCCGCCATCGAGGGCACACTCCCAGAGTTGCGGCAGATGCTTCGTGAAGACCGCTTTCTGAGGTCGGCAAGGTCAACAGCGTCAGCACGAAGGCAAGATCTCCGGAATTCTGAGGACGCACATCTTACACAACAGGTTCCTGCAGCAGCTGCAAGGGCTATAGAACAGCTGTGCGGCCTCGGCCTGGACCATGTGCCATTGGACTTGATCCCCGACCTAAACCAATCGTACAGCACACTAAACACCTACGCGTTAGAA